CCGTCCTGGGACCAACATTATTTCCAATTCAAAGACAGCCATTACGCCACTCTGTAGAGTTGATCGCTGTTGCACAACCTCAGCTCCCCTGTTTGTTTTCCCTAACACCCAGGTTCGCCTCCTTTCCTTTTACGCTGCCACCAGAGGATATTTTCCTCACTGTACCAATGATGAATACTGAATCAATGCTGTCAATTATAACAATATTTATTTAAGGATTTGCAGGTGAAACATATAAGGAAAATCATGGATGTTCTTGTAGTATTTATTCATTAAACATGCTTTGGAGTCACTTTAATCACAGTGTTGCACATTCAAACTGTTTGTTTAATTCTTATTACTTTTACTTCTTCAGTTATCAAACACCAACTTTCCAAGTCCTTGTCCTTTTTCGCTGCCACCAGAGGATATGTTCCTCATTGTACCAAATATGACCATTAGATCAGTGCTATTAAATATAACAATGTTTATGTATGGGTTTGTAGGTAAATCACATAAAGAAAATCATGGATGGTCTTTTATTATTCATTCAATAAACGTTGCTTTGATTACATTTATGTTTGTTTATGTAGATTCACTTTATTTAAGGTTCTACTATATTCAGCTATTTATTTATTTCTTAGTACTTTTAATTCTTTCCTATCTTAACCACATCAACTTTCCAAGTTCTTGTTTTCAATCCTTCCCTAACTATTCCTCTTAACTCTTCCAATCTCTCTATATATCTCTGTCTCTTCTTCTCTCTAACACTGCCCTAAGTGTTCTGTCTTATTTCTTCCCTAGTTCCGTTAGTTCCGCCCCTCCTGTCCTGTCATAGGCTCCCACACCAGAGTTCTACCCTGATGGACAGGAGTGATGTGTGAGCTGTCTGTCACAATTGCTTTACCAACTGCCAAGATGTTTATGTAGTTAATACTTGTAAAGTTCATTACCTGTGTTTAGTAGCACAGTACAGTAAACCTTTATTGGCATAAAACAGTGTGGACAGGAAAATAAGACACAAGGGGAAGAGAATCACAGGGCAGATAAACATAGTCAACATTAAATGGGGGGTACAAAATGATGAGAAGTAATACATAATACCTGGGAATGAAGTAAAGAAAAATTCTACGCTATGAGGCAATAGTGAGTTTCATAATTGCAGCTAAATAGTTTGCCACTGCCTTGGTGAGGGGAGCACAGTGATCACTCAAGAAAATAGGGAGAAGGTCAGAGAAAAAGTCCGAAAAAGGAATCAGCCCTTTTCAGGAATCAGATCTAAACAGAGTTTCCAAAGGGAGTAATGTGCTGGACATCTAAATAGAATATGATCTAATGTATCAGGCAGCAAGTGACAGAAAAGGCAAAGTCTTTTGCCTTTAGGAGCTTTGGAGAAATGGCCATAATGTATGGCCGACAGGAAGATGTTAAACCGGGCTAGCATGAAAGTCCTCTGCAGCGTAGGATTAATCAGTTGGTTGAAATAATATTATGATAATAATTGAATCAGTTGGTTGAAATAATATTATGATAACTGTAAAGAAGGGGATAAACCAAAAAAATTTTGAGAGCAAGAGGGATTAAGAAGATCTCTTAGGTGTTCATACTCCCACTAATATAGCCTAGCCTTAATATGAAAATGGGCAATAGATAATTCCAAAAAGAAAAGTGATTCTAATGGGATATCATTAGATAACAATTTAGAATGGGTAAGTTGTATCAATCAAGGGGAGTAGCGATCTTTTAACAAAGCATATAGTAACAAATCCAGGCATCTAGTTAAAAACAAGTGAAGCCAATATTCAAAAGTGGGAGTCCAAGCCAGAGTTGAGGGGAGATGAGTCCCTAATTCAAGTAGAATAGAGGTGAATCGGATGGAATTTGGGAGCCCAAGTATCTTCCCAAAGAAGGAGGTTGCTAAACGGTCAAGGTCAGAGTGGGCTGATGCAATCCAAACAGAAACTCCATATAGTAATTGTGAAAGAATTTTGGTTTGGAATATATGGAGAGCAGCTGGAATGAGTTGATTGGCAGAAGAAAAGTGAAACTTGGCAATTGCCTTTAGGTTCTGAGATGTGGATAAAATGACAGCTTTTTTATCAGGCGACCAGTTTAATTTGTAGTATAGGAGGATCCCTAGATACTTAAAGTTTTGTACTTGATGATAGGAGTGGGGGCCAATTGACCAGAGGGGGGGAACCAACGTTTAGAGAAAACCATAATTGGCTTATCTGAGTTGATGATAAGATGATTTAGTGAACAGTACTGTTATAAATAGGTAAGGGAACAACGTAAACCTAATTTGGTAAGAGAAAGTAAGACCATATCATCAGCATAAAGGAGAACAGGAAGAGGAGCCCCATTAAGGGCTGGAGGAGAATTATCAAGAGTTTAAAAGAAAAAAAGAGAAATCAGCTAGAAAAAGGTTGAAAAGCAAAGGGGCAAGAATACAGCCTTGGTGTACACCATTTAAAACAGGAATCCTATCAGTTAGAACATCTGAGTTGGGGAGGCAGACTTGGCTGAAGTTAAAAGTATAAAGACGACAAAGCAAAAACAGAAGAGGAGGGTCAATTCGCCATTTGGAGAGCTTTTCCCATAATAGACTTCTATTAATGGAATCGAAAGTGCCCTTAAGATTGACAAAAGCAGCATAAAGATTGGAATGGTGATAGGTGGAATATTTTTTAGCTAAAGAAGACAGTAGAAAAACATGATAAGTAGCGGATGCACCAGCACGAAAGCCAATTTGTTCCATTCCAGGGAGACTTTGAGATTGCACCCAAGATAGGAGTTTGGTAAGAAGGAATTTGGAATACAGTTTACCAATATTAGAAAGAAGACTTATCGGCCTGTAATTGTCAGGTTGGTAGGCGTCACCTTTTTTGTAAATGTGAATTATGACAGAAGATAGCCAGGTTTCGGGGAATTTGCCAGTACTGTTAACTAGCAGAAAAAGCTTAGCAAGGGGCTCAGCCCACCAATGGGAGTTGGAAGTCAAGATCTCAGAGAGAAAATTGTCTGGGCCTGGGGTTTTATCAGATCTCAAAGTATTGGTGAGATCTATAATTTGATCAGTGGTGACAGGGGGACAGTCGGGGAGATTAAGGAGATTCAGTGAAAGGGAAGGGAGGGGAAGGGATCTTGTAAATAGCCCTGTAAAATGATCAATCCAGGTTTTGGCAGGGATAGAAGTAGATGAATTTGAGGGGGCCAGTGAAATGGAATAAGAGAGTATAGACCAGAAGGACTTCTGATTGTGAGAGATAATTGCCTGATGTAAGAGGCAATTATCTTAAATCAGGCATTGCGCAAATTGGTGTTTTTTTAAACAGGGCAGAACAGGCTTTATGAAGAAAGAAATAGTGCTGTAGGGAAGGGAGGGTTAAGTGTTGGCAAATAGAAGAAGAAAAAGATCTAGTTAATTTTTTTGCCCTCCAACAGTCTGCGTCAAACCAAAACAAGAATGAGTAGTGGAGGGAGGGAATTTCAAGATTGAATAGGGATATTAAAGATTCAATGAGTAAGTTTTATTTCAAGATGGCCATAGCTGAGGTGCTAGAGGCCATCAATTTTTTTAACCTGTGTTAAAAACGATTTTGTCCCTTTAAACAATTGCTATTTGTGCCTGTATCCCTCTGCATTTCATCCCCACTCATACTTGGCAGGGGTATATAGTGTATGTGCTCCATGCCTCTGAGAAACCTGATTTTAGTCCACAAAAACTCACACTGAAATAAATCTGTTAAACGATGTCCCAATTCTCTTCTTGATGACTGATGTGAAATGATGCTTCCTGAGACGACCACAGGGCATGAATTTGATGTTCTCCGCAATGAGCCCCCCACCCTAAGGGGCTTGCGTCTGTGGTGACTTGAAGTGTCAATTGTAGAAGCCAAAATGGACGTCCCACTAGAAGATGTGGGAGAAATGTCCATCATTGTAGCTGTTTTGAGAGTTCTGGGGTGACTGTCAAATGTTTGCTTTGACTGTCCTGAAGTGGATTGAATAGGGTCGTCAGCCACAACTGTAGAGATCGCCTTTTGAAGCGAGCGTGAGATAGGGCACAAGTTGTTGATCCCATCAGACCCAGCAGATGCTGAGTGAGTCTTGCTGAGACTCTTGCACGTGGTTTGAATATTCGAATTGCCCATTTTATTTTTTCTATACGTTGTGGAGGTAAGAACATGCGGGCATTGATCGAATCTAGCCTTGCTCTGATGTAGTCCATCACCTGAGAGGAAACCAGGTGTGACTTCTTGTAGTTTATGGACAGTCCTAATGCTTTTAGAGTGTTGAGGATGTAGCGAGTGTCTTTGAGTTCTTTTCTCCTTGACCTGGACACAATCAACCAATCATTTATGTATGGGTACACTTGTATTCCCTGTAGCCGGAGGTAAGCTGCCACACGGGCCATACACTTGGTGAACGTCCTTGGAGCCGTTGACAGGCTGAAGGGAAAAGCCACAGACTGATAAATGGTGTTCTGGAACACGAGACAAAGATATTTTCTGTGTCTGTGATGAATGGTGATGTGGAAATAGGCATCTTTTAGATCCACAACAACAAACCAGTCTCCTTTTTTCAGCAGGTGGATGATCGATTGTAGAGTGACCATTCTGAATCGACGTGCCTTGAGGTAGGTGTTTAAGGTCCTCAGATCTAGAATTGACCTTAGGCCGCCATCTTTTTTGGGTACCATGAAATATCGGGAGCAAAAGCCGTTTGGCATGTCTCGGTTGGGTACCCTCTGAATTGTCTGTTTTCTGAGGAGGGTGAGAATCTCTTCTTCTAGGATGGGATCGAACGACATAAGCTTGACCCATCCTAGAGGAGGCAATTCTATAAATTTCAGACGGTAACCTGAGCTTATAATGCTTAGGACCCAGGAGTCTTGAGTTATTGCTAACCAGTTGTGAGAGTAAGGAGACAGGCACGTTCTCTGGGTGGCATCCAAAAGAGTTCTGGTTAAGTCAAAGATATTGTTTTATCTTTTTGCTTGGTTGTTTGTAGGATTGTCATTTTTGGCTGGACTACGGTCTGAAACTGGAAGCAGATGAAGAGACCTGAGAAGACCTAGGTTGTGTTTGGTTCCTGAAGGAACGGTAAGTACCAGATGTGGATTGCTAGTAAAATTGTTGTGGATATATTGAACGCCATTGAAACTTTCCAGTTCTTGGCTGCTGTTATATGGAGTATGATCTGGCCATCTTTTGGGCTGCTGTTATATGGAGTATGATCTGGCCGTCTTTTTACTTTTATGTAGGTTTTCCAGATTTTCATCGGTTTTTTCATTGAACAGACCAGAAGTATCAAAAGGTAAGTTTTCGATTCTGGTCTTAATGTCATCCATAATAGATGCCGAACGTAGCCATGCATGGCGTTTCAAAGAAATCATAGAGGCCAGGTTTTTGCCAGTGGCATCAGCGATGTGGCGAGGTGCCAGTCTCTGGTGCTTGGATACAGTCAACATCTCAGTGTGGGTGTTCAAATAGAATTGTCTAATGTCCTCCTGGGCTGATTCTAGTGCTGGCAAAATCCTAGACCACAACTGTTTTGGTAAGCCCCCATTGCTATTAATTAGTTGACAGCTCTTAGGACGAAAGAGACAAAAGAGTACATACAACAGCCCAACACTTCCAATTTTCTTCCCTCTTTGTTGGAGGGGGTCACATGGCCTCTGGCTGGAGATTTCGAGGCACTGGATTCAACTACTAGGGAATTAGGTATAGGATGCTTCAAGAGAAAAGAGGTATCAGAACCATGTATACGATAGAGGTTCTCAGTCCTCCTGGAAACAGAAGTAGAGCTTGCAGGTTGCAGCATTCTTTGTTGAGGTCAAGTAACTCTGGGATATAAGAAAGGCTCAAAGGATGAGATCTTTCTTGATTGATGTCACCAAAGATTAAGTTGTCTGACTTAGGCGAAGACTGTTGGGTATCCAACTTGAGCGTTTTGGCCATACGGGATACCATCTGAGTGTATGAAGAAAATTCTTCAGATGGTGATGAAGGGTGAATATCGGCAGCATCAGAACCCAATGGTTCTCCTGGAGTTGTCTCCAAAGAGGTTTCAGACGTAACCTCTTCTTCCTGCTCAGACGAGTCTGAAGAAATGATATGTTCTTGCTCAGAGGTAGATAGAGCCTTTGGATGATGCTCTCTATCTTTCTGAGTAGGATGTTTGTGAGGCACTGTTGTAGATTTAACTTGCTGAGGATCCTGTTCCTGAGCCATATCAGAGTTTTTATTTTTGGATGACTTGGATGGCTTGTCGGTATCGATCCCGATACTCCTTCGACGTCGATGTTTATGTGGTGGAGAAGTTGAAGGAGAGGAGGACGAATAGGAATATCGTGCCCTTTTGCGTCTCCTTCTGCGATCTCTCAACGTTGAGGAAGAGTCTGATGTGTAGTCTCTTTTTCAGTGCCAACAGTGGCGTCTTTGTCTTTCCGCACTGTAGTCTGAGTCAGATAGGGAGGAGTCATCTCAACGCCAATTGCCTTTTTCGACACCGGAATCATAGTCGTAGCACCTATGCCTGTGTCGACATCATGTTGTAGATTTAACTTGCTGAGGATCCTGTTCCTGAGCCATATCAGAGTTTTTATTTTTGGATGACTTGGATGGCTTGTCGGTATCGATCCCGATACTCCTTCGACGTCGATGTTTATGTGGTGGAGAAGTTGAAGGAGAGGAGGACGAATAGGAATATCGTGCCCTTTTGCGTCTCCTTCTGCGATCTCTCAACGTTGAGGAAGAGTCTGATGTGTAGTCTCTTTTTCAGTGCCAACAGTGGCGTCTTTGTCTTTCCGCACTGTAGTCTGAGTCAGATAGGGAGGAGTCATCTCAACGCCAATGTCTCTTGCGTTTTTCCACACCGGAATCATAGTCATAGCACCTATGCCTGTGTCGACATCGAGACTTTTTGACAGGTGCCCCTTCGTCCTCATCCGAGCATGGACGTCGAGGGGGAGAAGCAGTCGAAGGTCTAGAGGGCCTCCCTCAAGGTAGAGATTTGGAGGCGAGAGACCTCGACACCGAAGACGGAGATCGATCTGCCTGCCCGGTAAAAACAAGGCTATTTTGGGCTACGGCTGCACTAGCTATGGCTTAAGCTAGTTGACTGCCGGTTGGTGATCTCTCAGTGTCGATGGGAGGAAGTTCCTGTCAAGGTGGTAAGGAGGCTCCCATCTCAGATAGGGAATCTCGGTCCCGTGAAGAGTCCTCAAGGATTGGAGAAGGCACCGATGTGGAGACCGGGGGAACCATCAAGGTGAGTTCTTTGGACTTTGCCTTGGGTTTAACAGATGACTTCTTTTGTTTCAGATCCGCACTTGCAGTGGAAGAAGACGAACCGGTAAGTGCCTTCTTAGTAAGTGCTTTCTTTTTAGATTTTTCTGCAGGTTTAGCAGTTTGAGGTGGTGGAGAAACCATCCGAACATCAGATCAAACTGAGGAGGTGGACGGAACATATTCCATGTCAGACGGTTGGGAGGCTGACAAAGTCTGGTTCCACAGAAAATATTTTAAGCGCTGCTGACGACTTTGAGAGTCGCCTTTGTAAATTCCTTGCAATGTTTGCAAAGGTTCGGTTGGTGACTTTCTCCAAGACAGAAGACACAAAGAGAATGTCAGTCTGAGAAAGGTAGTTTTCTTGAGCAAGACGAACAACAGCTGAAAGGACCTCTTTTTGGTGACATAAGCAGATTGTATAGAGGGGAAATAGGCAATGAGGCGATAAGTGGATTAGAATGGCGACGCGTGCCACCTCAGCAGGCTGTGAAGACAATAAAGGCCAATCAACAATTAATTCCAATTGTGGAATCACCAGAGGCAGTAGAAAGGTCAGACAGTCCGGAGTCAGGGCAACAGACAATCAGAAGGTCAGGAATAGTCCGGTCAAAGAAGGAAATAGCTCACAATTTGAAGTTTAAACGATAGCTCTAGCTGAGAGGTTCCAACTCTGCAGGTGGAAAAAATGGAACTGAGGCTTTGGCGGGCAGAGCAGTATAGGGCAACCTAAACTTTGTTACTTTTTCCTATAGCTCTGGAATGTTCCGAGCGCAGGCACTGTTTAACCCACTTGTGTGGATTCATAGAAGCCACATTGAAGAAACCAAGCAGATTTAAACCAAACCAAACACCTTTTAAACCAATCTTTACATTTTAAAAGTACAGTACCAGGCAGTCCAAATTTTCCAGTTTCCCTGCGGGGTTTTTTGTTCATAAGTCGAAGGTCCGTTCACAAGTCGAAGCAAAATTTTGCGAATTCGTAAGTCGAAATGTTCGTATGTGGGGCGTTCGTAAGTCAAGGCACCACTGTATTCCCATCGGCATTCTGCTCTAAGTAAGAACCCCCCTTAGCTCCTCCAGTACCATTACCGATGGTATCAAAGACTTATCCTTTTTCCTTTTAATAGGCAGAAACCAAATGTGGAACGCATGTGAACCAAACATGGCAGGTCCTCATGGCACAGTGGTTACACTGCAGTACTGTAGTCAAGACTCTGCTCATGAGCTGCATTTGATCCCAATGAGCTCAGGTACCAGCTCAAGGCTGACTCAGTCTTCCATTTTTTCAAGGTTGTTGAACTAAGAACCCAGCTCACAGCGAGGACAATGTGTAACCAGCATAATTAAACTGTAAATGGCCCAAAGAGTGATTTAAGTGTTATGGGGTGGTATACTAGAAGTAGACCCTTTCTCAAGGGTGTGAGAAAGTGGTTTTTCCACTTCTAGAGGACTCCAGTATCGTTTTGTTTTTGTTTTGTTTTTTACATTAGGTAAGTCGGGACCAGATCCATCAAAGCTCCAGAAGACCAACATATCCACACCAAAAGTGGCTGGAATTTCCCCTCTCCTTCTATTTTAAGTAAACTCTGTGCTGCCCTTCACTCTGCCCCACAAACCTTCCTGGTCACCCACTCTGAACCCTCTGCACATGCTTCTCAGCAACATGATGGAGTAATTCCGGAGAAGTGGAAGTCTTGCCCAGTTGACAGCCACCATCAGGAGAGCCCTGAAGGTGCTTCTCTCACCCACCCAGTCCAGAGCAAGAATGACCAGTAGCCCTGGGCTGGCTCGGAACGGTGTTGCTGCGGCAACCACATAAACAGATCAGGATCTGGAATCCAGCAGAGCAACCATCAGTTTTTGAATGAAAACCAGTCAAAGCTTTCAGTATATAAGCAACACAATTCGCTGTGCTTCATATGGGAAGATGCTCCTCATTGGGCACTGATAGCAAGACACCTCTGGAACTGGTAAAACAACCTTCCTCAAAAATTGAAGTAGAATGAAATAAACATTGGCAAACACCCTTTTAGAAAGTTATACCACCCAAACCAGCACAAACAAAATAAAAAATGGTCCAAATCCAAATTAGCACTATTTTTTATTGATTTATTTGTAGGATTTACCATTACTAACAGAGTTTTCCTATGGAAATTGTTAGCACCAAGCACCAGGACTGCAACGAGAGTTTTCAGTTATTCTGTATAGCGTTGTTGTTGCTGCTGCCTCAAAACCTTTTGAAATTATTAGGTTGGATTAAAAACCCATTTAATAAAAACAGACCAACTCATATCGCGATTTGGAGCGAAGTGTCTTTGAAATGTCTCCAGCCTTCTCCATATCCTGCCCCTTTCCTTACAGAACTACAGTACTGCTGAGGATCACTTGTCTTTCCCTGGCTTTCAGACTCAGCAAGAATGTTCAACCCCTGTTTTTGGCATCTAAGCATTTGCTGCTTCTGAGATTCTGCCTGCCTTCAGCAATCAACATTGTATGTTGCTGTACAACTTCCTCCACTTGCTTGGGGCCACGACACTATCCCTGTTTTATGTCACATCCCATTTAATCTCGGTCATTCGTATGCAAGCTTTTGTGATATAACCTGAATTTATATTTCATTTACCACCACCACCAATGTTGCAGGTCACTCATCTCTGACCGGGATTTACACATCTCTTAAGCATGCTATAGAGCAGGGGTCCAGACAATTCACACATCGAAATAGGGGTGCCTGCTTCCAACCCCATTTATGTGTTCACCCACATGGAGTGAATGGGGGGGGGCGAGCAGGACACCTCCCTCAACATCCATGCAGTCACTCAGCTATGGGGCAGAATCTACATGTACAGGACAGAAGGAGAGGGCTAACGTTGGATCCCTTATTTATTTAATTACTTCATTGTTATATTTATATCCCACACACAGTCAGACACACTCTCACACACATACAATTTAGAAAGTATAATACTACCATGCATTATCTCTGGGCATCTGTGAGCACACCCAGTCCCCCAGCAGAGTTCACTATTGCTTATTATTACACAGATGCATATTTTTAAGGGCATGCTGAGTATCCACAGTGATTACTAGCAAGCCCAGAGGTCACAGATGAATAATTCATGATAAACAGGGTGAGGGAGAGACGGCACATTGTTGGATGTCGTGGAGACCGAGGGAGAGGGGAATTCTCTGCAATTGTTATAGACATCTTGGGTGCCACCTAGAAAGCTACTGTGTATGTGTAATACAAGTTAAGAACTACTAGACTAGAGTGAACTTTGTATATTTTGGAGTTCCGCATAGTTTCCTTTGTGCATTTTTCATATGTTCACATTTCTGAGCACTGTTCCCTGTATGTTTCATGGAACGCTTCACAGGTTTGGAAATACAGCAGCCAGAATCTTGTTGGTGCACCTCTGTGTACACAGGACCCGTGATATCATCAGCCTTTTCTCTTTAATTCAAAGTTTCCTGTTCTTGCCCTCTCAGGCTCCTATGGTTCCCCAGGGCCCCCTTTCAACTGGTTGAAGCATCTGGTGGCCTCAGGATGTACAGGAAACCTTCCGTTCCAAAACACGCATTGCCAGTGGGACCACTGCTGGGGGCTGGGATCAGCCGCTGCAGTTCCCAGACGTTTAAAGCCTTTTCTCCCACCTCCCCTCCATGTCCTGAGGCTTCCAAAGGCTTCCTCAGGTCAAAAGGGCTGCTGCACATGGAGTCTCAAAATCTAACGGAGGAGAATAGGAAACTAAAATTAAAGGCCTCAGCTGATGGCATCATCAGCCTAGGGCACATGGAGCTGCACCAAGGGGTCCAGCTACAGATGTCAAATCAGAAATTGTGCTGGGTTCCCCGTTGGGGTAGTGAATAACACGATGTGTCTTTAAAAAATAAAACTCAACAGGGCAAATATTTTGCCTATTGTATCTCTACATCAGCGCATAAAGTGGATTTGTTGGGGTAAGAGACAAATAGTCACATGGGCTTGGGCATCTTCTCCCCTCTCGTCTTTTTATAGGACAGTTTAGTGGTGTATATATATAGTATATAAGGGATGTGGTGGTGCTGTGGGTTAAACTGCTTAAGCCTCTGTTCTGCAAGGTCAGAAGACCTGCAGTCGTAAGATCGAATCCATGCAACAGAGTAAGCCCCCGTCACTTGTCCCAGCTCCTGCCAACCTAGCGGTTTGAAACCATGCAAAATGCAAAAATGCAAGTAGATAAATAGGTACCACAGTGGGAAGGTAAAGGGCATTCCGTGTCTAGTCGTGCTGACCACGTGACCATGAAGGATTGTCTGTGGACAAATGCTAACTCTATGGGTTGGAAATGGAGATGAGCGCCACCTAGAGTTGGACACGACTGAACAAACTGTCAAGGGGAACCTTTACCTTTTAGTGGTATATAAATTGCTTTTACAAAAGGAGAGCCAGTGTGATGTAGTACACAGAGTGGTGGACAAGGGCTCAAAAGACTGAGGCCCAAATCCTCGCTTCCCCACAGAAATTCACTGGGGGAGGAGCAACTGTAAAACCACTCCCTAAATATCTCACATACTTTGGAAACTCTACTCTTTTACCAAACCTTGGATGAGACTTGAGACCATGCAGCATAAATTGCTTTACTTCATCTGGGAAGCCAGGGGATTGTTCTTTCCCTTTGTTAACCTTCCACGAGGATCTCCTCCTTAAAAGGTATCTGCATACCACCATCAATGAAAGCCAACTTGTGTAACCAGTTTGAGTAAGTCCCCGCCCCCCTGCACAATCTCTGAACTGGTTTCCTGTCACAATAGACGTAAGTTTTCTAATTTTGCAGAGTAGTTACTCCAATTTAATCACCATAAGCTTAATGCTAACCTACTGTACACTGCTAGTATAAATACCACATAGCTTTGAGGACTTCATTAAATTAATCACTGATCTGAATATGCGCTGACAGCATCTATGTGCTTCATATGCCAGACGTGATAGAGGTCAAGTCTATATAGGCCCAACATCATTACATATAGTTGTGCCATATCCTGATTTTCATGAGGATCTGTGCATGAATTGTAGCTCAATCCACAATATGTTCAAACAGTGTCAGCTGGGAAAATGTGCATAGGAGGCCATCTTTTTCAAACTTTGGCCACATCCTTAGTAACAGTGTTGTAAGTCTTCTTAAACGGAATCTTTCCCCTGGAGCACTCAACGTGCCCTACACTCAACAACATGACAGCTTCCTAGTCCACTTGAGGTCTCCCACCCAGGCATATTTTCTCACTCCTACTGACTCTCCATCACTTCCCCACTCTCTGTTGACTTCTTGTCATTTCATACTCCACTGCTTTTTCCTGTAACAAAATCATGTGCCACATATTATTCTCTTACAGTTAATTTTGTTTCCTCTGTGTTTTACGGTAATCATGAAAGGACATCAACGCTTCGCTGTCTAACATGCCTGTACTGCATGAGAAATAAAACAAACAAAAAAATGATATGAACACAACCGACATCCTCCCCATAGGCTTTGAGATCTCCAAAGATGACTTTAAAATGAAGCCATGTGTGTTGGCAAATATTAATCAGACTGTGCCCTAAGGGGTCAAAACAAAGTCCATCTATACCCCCATTGTTTTCTACTACTGTTACTGCTCTACAAAGCCCTCAACAGTTTGGGAACCGGAATCTCTGAAAGACCGCCCCTCCTGTATGATTGTACTTGGAATCTGAAGTCCTTGATGGAAACTGACTTGCATGCCTCTCTATTCTGAACGCTTAGCTGGGGCACTACAACTATATACCAATAATGAAATTCCCTCCCAAGAGAATTCTGTCTGGCTCCATCCCTGATGAATTATCATTTAAAACAGAATTGTTTTTTAAAACTGGCTTTAAAACCACCTTTTCAGGTGCTCTTGATATCTTTAAAAGAATTCTGGCTTTAAAAACTCTTTTCTAAAAATTAGCCTTTTGATGGTAGCCATTTGTGGGGAACCTCATAGGCTGAGAAGCAATACATACTGTAAATGCTTATAATAAATCATAAATGAAATAACTAAATCCCACATTATTTCCATAATGGTTCCTTTTCATTCAGAGACTGACCAGATTCACATAGACCTACCCACTAAGGGAACCGCACTATATATCTTCAAAAAAATTGTTCAAGTTATAGGCTCTATCTTAATGAATTTACCTAATGCTTTAAAATGTGAGTGGTCATATCACACATTGTAGTGATCAATAAGGACAAGCTGGTGGGATGTGGTGGTGCTGCGGGTTAAACCGCAGAAGCGTCTGTGCTGCAAGGTCAGAAGACCAGCAGTCGTAAGATTGAATCCACGGGATGGAGTGAGCTACCGTCGCTTGTCCCAGCTCCTGGCAACCTACCAGTTTGAAAGCATGAAAAAATGCAAGTAGATAAATAGGTACCACTACAGTGAGAAGGTAATGGCACTCCGTGTCTAGTCGCGCTGGTTACATGACCACGGAAACTGTCTACGGACAAACGCTGGCTCTAGGGCTTGGAGACAGGGATGAGCACCACGCTCTAGAGTCATACACGACTGGACTAAATGTCAAGAGGAACCTTTACCTTTACCTAAGGACAAGCTGTTTTGTGTGTTTGAACTGGAATCCACAGAATACTATCAGAATTCTGGGAAATGCAGCCCATAAATCCATACCTGGGAGTTACACCTTATTGAGGGGCTTTAGGTTATTTACTGGCATCAGCTTCTCAAGCCTTAACTCCTGTTTTTGATTTCTTTAAATAAAACAATGGTGATTTCTGGGAGTTGTAGTCTTGCTTCCCATTAGACTCTAGAGAGAGTGCCTCTCAAAGAACTATGAATCCCAGAAAGCACAATAGCAGCTTCTTTTTAAGAACGATAACAGGAAACAAAGACTTGAGAGGCTGGTGGTGTAGGTAAATAACTTGAAAGCCCATCTTGAGGAGGGGAGCAAAACCTACAAATATAGAGTTTTCCGTTTCTGGGCAGCAGTTCTCTGAAATCTTGGAGAATTCTGGGAGTTGTAGTCCTGAAACACAAAAGAGCATGTCCCTAGT